GTGGGGATGCGTCCAGAGAGTTCAAGTAGGAATCCATAGTGTTAAAACCATGCTGCCCTGCTGTGTGCTTTCTGAGTTTTTTGCAACAGAAGGATTGGTCTAGTATTTTTCTGTAGTCCAAAAAAATCAAGTGAAATCCAAGAACTGGAACTTTCCAAGTTGTGTCCCGAGTCTGTCGAGGGGTGCGTGGAGTCTAACCCTACCTGAGTCTGTCGAGGGGTACCTGGAGTCCGGCTTGGTTGAGAACCACTGCATTAGGGTTATTTCTGAGTACCCTTGTACATAACTGCCCTTCTGTGTCAGACCACAGGTCCATCTAGCCCACTGTGCTTCAGCCCCTCTTCCACCTCCTCAAGACCCTCTTGTTGAGGTTCTGGTTGCACTTTTCTCTGCAGCTTTTAATTTTGCACACCCCATCCATAGCCCCACAAAATCCTGGGACCTTCTGGCATCTCAGTGAGCACTACCTGCAGTTCTCTGCTGGGTGTCTTCCCAGGCCATCCTGGTGAAAAACCTCTACCCCACACTCCCCTTCCTGTTATGTCTCTTGCTGTCTGAAGCAGGAGCATAATTAGGGGGGGCTGAGGGATGCTGGAATCACCCCCAACTCCCACGGAGTCCATGCCCTGGCAGCAGAGGCAGCCCCACGACTTAGTCATGCGGGGAACTCCAAAACAGGCCCCAGCTGCTGCTTGAAGAGCAACAGCCAGGACGGGCAGAGTGAGCAGTGGTGGCAGCAGTTCAGTGGAGGACCGTTTAGGAGATCCTGGCATGGGTAAGGCTGCTGCCCCCCATCCCCTGCTTTTGGATCCGTGCCCCCGCTACCCCCAGAAGCATGCCTCTGCCTTCCCTCTTGGAAGCATGTCCATCCCCCACCTTCCCTCCCGCCACCCTCGCTCCCCTGTGGGTGCCAGCTCTGCCTGCTATGCCTTTACTCACAAGAAATCCACTGTTGCATGCATAGGGGTCTCCCTCCAGCTATTGTGGGGAGTTTGTGGTTCCTTATGGGCCTAGACCCACTGTCATTGTGCAAGAAATAGGCCAGTCTCACAGGGTGGCACCGGGCAGATGCTAAGGGGAAGGGTATTTATGCAGGGTCTATCCAGATTGAGCTGTCCCTGGCCCTTCTTCTACTCTATTGCCCAGCAGTTATAGGTCTAGGGAGCCCTCGTTTGGATGCAGCATCCCTCCCATTGCATTTAATGCCCGCCGATGGACCGTTCCTGCATGCATTTCTTTGGAACCTGGTTAAATTGTCAGCCTCTACAACATCTTGCGGCAGCGAGTTCAACGAGTGAATGACACACTGGGAAAGTGAATGGCATTCATTCTCAACCTGCTTCCTGATGATGTCCTTGCGCATCCCCTGGTTCTAGTATGGTGAGGGGTACTGAATCGCAAATCCCAGCTGACTTTCTCCATAGCATTCATTACGTTGTAGACCACTAGCATATTCCCCCTCCGTCGTCTTTTCTCTGAGCTGAAAAGTCCTAGCCTACGTAGCAGGGAGATCCACTCTCTCTTTGCTGCTGGAGTGGCACGAGGGGGCTGTAGAGCAGCGTCGAACTGCCGCAGGATGTGTTGTGGTCCTGGGCAGAGGAGTGCAAGCCAAGCAAGGGCATTTACCTTGGTGTAACTCGGGTGTAGCACTTGTGAAAGAACCAGCTTTACCTCTGCATTCCCCTGCTTTTCTGGGTTATATTCTAGACCTGAAAGATTTTTTTCCCCCAGAGTGATGTATTTTGTAGAGAGGTTATGATTTTTTGTTTGTCATTAGCCACTTCAACCAGTCTGAGCTATGTTTAACCCGCCGTGCTGTGGTGCTGGCATCTCCTGCCAATGCAGGGACAGACGACCTTTTAGCCCAGCTGCTTTCTGAATCAAATCTTGGAAATATCAAGTTGGACCCATGACATGCGGCCCCGGCTCTGCTTATTACTGCCTGTCTCTTCTGCGAGCGGTAGCTTTGGAGTCAACAGGCGAGGTCACGTGCATCTCTGACATGCCGGCAATGTCTGACTTTTCTGGGTCTTTGACACGAACTGCGCTTCTGAACTTCACCTCCATCTGACATCTAATTTAGTAATTACTGGAATAAGAAGCCAAATGATTTGGCAGATGGCGCTTACATTTTTTTTTTTTGACACACGTGCTCTTACCACCCCTGCCAGATGATCTGTGCAAGGTTTGTCCCTCACTTTGGCACTGGGAGGCTATGGAATGATTTTAAAAGCTTTTCCCCCGCTGGCGTTCGTGCAGCTCCTTCAGACACAAAGGAACCGCGGCAGGTGGAAGAGAGCATTTCTCCGCAGTTCAGCACAAAGATGTTGACTTCAAAATCCCTGCCTAGCATAAATCCATTGTCTCTCTTTGCTGAGGACCAGGGCCAGCCTTAGGGAAAATGGTCCCCTGGAAAATGGTCCTCTTACCACCCCCACTGATGTCACTGGCACTGTGTGCATGGGGTGGAGGGTAGGGGGATGTGGGATAGGGGTGTTTGGGGGGATGGGTGTGTATGAGGGACACACGTGCCCCAGCAGCTGCGGGTGGTAGGGGACCCTGTGGGCTATCGCGGGGCAGCACGTGTTCGCTCACCTGAGATGCTGGCCTGGTGGCCGGGGCTTGGTGGGGGCCAGCAGGAAAGGCTGGCAGGTGGGCATCAGGTAGGGCTGTCCACAGAGGAAGCCCAGCCCCAGCGGCAGTGCACTACCACCCCGTGCCACCTGGCCGCCCGTGCCCTTGACTGTGGTGGCGGTAGCCAAGGGGGGCTGCAGCTCGGCTTCCAGCCCCAGCAAGTCGGTGATGGTGAAGCCCTTGGTGTGCAAGCTGGAGCCACCCAGCCGTGCTGCCTTCTTGCTGGGCACTGCTGCCTTGCCCTTGGCCCGGCCCTCCTCCCGGCCCATCATGCTGCCTGGCAGTGCCTGCTGCCACCACTGCCACCCAGGGGCTTTTATCCTGCTACACCAGCCGGCCACCCAGTCCCAAACAACTCCAGGCACAGCCGGGGAGTGTCAGCCCTGCTACCCAGCCCCTGGGATTATTTGCCACCAAAGTCCTCATACAACTCCCATCTGGCACAAGTGGCAGGCAGGAAACAGCGTGTGTGCATGCATGCGTGCATGTATGTGTGGCCCCCCTGACCATGCCACCCACCCGTAAGGCCAGCTCTGCTGAGCTCCAAACCTAAAATAAAGTGGGAGCTGCCCTGAGTTGTGCCAGCCGGGGTCTCTGGCCCTGCGAACGAGTGGTAATTCCATCGCAGGAATTTACTTCTTATATAAGGGGCGAATGGGCATTTTTACCTTGAGCTATAAAATAGTCATTTGCCTAGTAATGGCAATGGTGCTCCCCGGTGTGAGAGCCATTGTCCATCTGTGCCTGTATCTCTCCTGAGGAGAGATAAGAAAAAAAGTGCCTGCCTGGTGCCTTCAGTTCCCATCCCTCTGCTTTCTCCCCTCACCCCCAAGAGAAGTGCACTGTCTTCCCTTCAGTGTCCTTCCTGCCTGAGGAAGGCGAAGGTCCCCCCAAGCCTGGATGGGCTAGAGAAGTGAACAGGCCAGTTTCTATCACCAGTGGCACTCAAGGGCCTAGGTGACTGGTAGGGGGTGCACGGGGGTGCACATGCCCCCCTGACGGCTGACACTGATGCTGTCGGTAGGGCTGGTCCCCCCCCCCTGCCAGGGGTGCCACCGTCAGCATCTTCTGCGTGTGCCCCCCCATGTTCAGGAGGCACCAGTCACTCATGCTTAAGGGAATGGTGCATCTAGTACCATGTCCACCCACCCGTGGCACCCTAGTCCGTATGACCAGGCACCCCATTTATAACCTGGTTGATTGGGAGGTGGCCTTTGGCATGAGTTTAGAGGAAAGCTGGAGCCCATGCCGGAGCATCAGTAGAGGGATGTTATAACCCAGGGGTGTTTTTCAGCTTTGAAAATCTCAGCCCAAGGTGCCAACCAAATAAGTCAAAATATAGTTTGCATTTCTATGCAATGCATCTATGTGGGGCTCTCCAAGCATTTTACAAACATGAAATGAACCTCAGGACGAGCCCAGCCAGAGCAGCAGGGGCTCAGCCACACTTTCGCCTTACCTGCACCGGTCAGTCCTGAGCGGCACACGGCTCCGCCGCCGCTTCTGCTGGCCGGTGCTGACCCAGCCGGGCTCCTCCCGGCCTCAGCAGCACGTGGGAATCCGGCTTCAGCTGCAGCTCCGGCTGGGCTCGTCCTGTCGTGAGCGGCACACGGCTCTCCTCTTCCCACACGCACCGCGTTGGCAATGTCAAGCTGACGCGGAGCATGTGGGAACCTTGTCCCTTCCCGAGTCCTTCAGCACCTATTAGGAAGCTGCTGAGGGGTGGGGGAGGGACGAGGGGTGGGAACGAAAGTAAACTGTGTTTACTGTTGTTTCCCGTCGCAGCACCGCAGGCCTCAGAAAATGCCTTGGCGGGCTGCATGGCAGTATGTTGGACAAACCTCTTATAACCGCTGGGCCTGCCTTATGTGAGATTACCCTAAAGGCATAGATAGCCACATGCAGAGAAAGAGCATTTCACTCAGCTGCTTTATGACCAGCTGGTACCTGGATTGCACCGACTGAATCGGGGATCATCCTGTTAGAGTCAATGAAATCACACTGGATTTAGGGTTGACCCAAAGCCCCTGGAAGTTGGTAGGAATCTTTCCATTGGTGCCAGGGGGTCGGACTCAGGTCGGACCGATCTACTGAGGTCCCTTCTGACCCCCAAAAATCTATGAAGTCTATGAAAGTCCAGAAGAAAGAGCAGAATATCATTCAGTGGGCAGCTTATACTGTCGGTAGATGGGAGCGGATGTGCCAATGGCCTCCACTTCTGCCTGGCTGCTTTCTGTTGGATTTGGCTTTCATCGCATTTTGAGAACTGGTGCCTTGCTGAGCCTGTGTGGGGGGGATAAATCAGCTATGTCTAAAGGGCAAGTATTTCCAGTTGCAACAGTTTTATTTCTGTGTTTTGCTCCTAGTTACACCAGAGGCCATTGGATTCTTGTCCGCAGTTGGCGTCTTCATTGTCCTCTTCGCAGTCCTCTTCCTCTTCATCAACAAGAAGTTATGTTTCGAGAAGATAGGGGGGCTCCCCTGCTTGGAGCAACGAGGGAGGCGAAAGCACTACAAGGAGAGGTCTAGGGTTCACGAGGGCCTTGGTAAGCATCAGCACTGTCGCTCCTTTGATGCACAGAAATCTACTGAGACTCTGATTATTAAGAGAGCAGAGCCACTTTATCATGTCTCTGGTTATGTGTGGGGAAAATAGCAGGGGCTTCAGTCGCTGTGCAGTCATCTTCATGCAGCCGTTATATCAATATGATTGCTACAACAGAGCCATTATCGCTCTCTATCTAGAGCTGTAGGGGCCAACATTTTTGGCAGGCATGCCACAAATTAGCCCCACACTCCCCCTCGAGTGCCACTCTGATCCTCTTACCCTGTCATATCTACTGCTCTGCTTTCTGCTCCCTGCCCCATGCTCCCTGGTCAATCTGCTGTTCTAATCTCCGCTTCCTGCCCTGTGCTCCCTGCCTGCTCCACTGTTCTGCTTTCTGCTCCCTGCCCTATCTGCCTCTGAGCTGCCTTTCTCTTCCCCGATCTGCCATGTACCACACAGAGAGGCTGCCCGGGCCACTTGTGGCACCTGGGCTGCAGGTTGGCCACCCATGGTCTAGAGCACTGCTCTCAGGAGAGAGGAGCCAAGCTTGGGAGAAGACATGGTTTTTGGCACCTCTGTGTCTTGTGGGAACGAAGAGAACTGAAAAATCTGTGCAGCGCTGAGTAATGCGCAGGCTTCTGGGTGCACTCGCACTGGTTTCCCTGCGTTAACCATTGCACGATCTTCCACACACTGGTCCCATTGCAGAAGCACTGGCGGTGGACCCACTCTCTCAGCTGCATTAACTGTCGGCAAGGGCTCACCAGGGTTTTGCATGCATCACGGTTTGTCCTGGATCGTGAGCAAGTTAGGCTGGAATTTGTAGACACCCCTAGACATCTCCCATGTGTAGACCCAAGTTTTCATCAGTAGCAATAATCTCCTGTTTAAGCCTCTGACCCCTCAACCGCTTTGGGAGAGGCGAGTAAAGTTCCCCTGGGGTAACTTCTTTGCTAGCGGTGGGAGAGGCAGACTTCTTGCCGCCTCCCTGTCACATTACAGAAAGCGCAGCAAAGATGTAAATGTTTTTAAGAGACGTTAGCACGCCAGGGCTATTCTTAGAGATGCTACTGTCAAGGTTGCTAGGCTAAAGCTTGGCCTGCCTGCCTTTTTTTTTTCCTCCGACTTGATTGCAAAGTCGGTTGCATTTTGTAAGCATTTAGGGTTTTATCTGCCAAAACAACTGCTTTGCTGGTCTTTCCGTTAAAAATAAACACAGTACTAGAGGCACCTCGGCTTCCAGTCGAACCACGGGAAGGCCCAATCCTGCCAGTGCTTGCACCCAAACCTGCTGCTGTTTCACTGTGGAGTCGTGAGAACCTCATTGACTTTAGTGAGGCTCTCGCGAGGGCCCAGAGCTCCTTATATTGCAGGATCGGGACCTTGCTGACATGAAGGCCTGGGTCCTGTGTCAGTGCATGCTTAAGTCATGAGTCTGTGGGTGCCCTCTGCTCAGTAAATCTTAGCAAAAACAAATGCAAGAGGACTATCTCAGGTGAAAAAACAGCTTTTGCTGCGAGTTTTCCTTTCTTTTTGGAGATCGTAACCTTGATATTTTACTTAAGCATAGATTTTCTTTTTTTTTTAACTGAATTTCTCTTCCCAATATCATTTTTAAATCTCATGAATTTTTTTCCCCAGGAAGTTGTACGAGAGTCTGCCCTTTTTTTTTAATCTTAAATGACACATCTCCAGAAATATGTGGGTGTTGACGCTCTTTGGAGCTGTCACAGACAATCATGCAAACATATCTTTAAAATGTGTGGCCTTTTAAAATGTGAATTATTAATAAACTGGGCGGATTTCCCCCCCCCCCCCCCCACAAATTTTGAAGGGAAAAAAAATGTTTCCAAGCTGGCGCACTCTGTGGCAATTTACTTTGGAGTAAATCTTACATGATGGAATAATAAACCCTTGAAAACATGGGTTTATAATGGAAACACTAATTCAACTTTACCCACAGCTGTGGCGTACAAGCAAAATACCAAAGGCATTAATGAGGTGCTAAATCTGATACCATAGAGGAATACAGTATAATCATTAATTAAAAAGGAAGGCTGGAGTTGGAGACTTTTTGTCCTCCTTCCCAACTAAAGGGAGCATGAAGAATTGAAGTTAGAGATACTTGGCTTCAGACTTTTCTGTGTTTTAGGTCAGAGGTGCACAACCTTTACGGCCAGCGGAGCTGTCTGCGAGCCAGATCTGGCTGGTGGTCCTGATCTGGCACAGGATAGTCATGGCAGGACCCCACCCGTACCCTTGCAGAGAGGGGCATGGGGCATCCTGGCCCCACAGGGGACTTGGGGGCAGAGATAGGGGCTGTGGCCCAGCCCCATGGGATAAAGGGGCGTGGCCCAGCCCCAACCCTTAGGGGAAGGGGGCTTGACCCAGCCCTGCAGGGGTGGAGAAGGGGGCTTAAACTGGCCCCATGGGGAAGAGAGGGCATGGCTCAGCCCCATCCAGCCCAAGGGGAGGAGCATGGCCCAGCCTCATCCAGCTGTGGGGTTGAGGGGAGGGGGTGTGACTTGGCCCCAACCTCCTGTGCAGGGCTTGAGGTTTGGGCATTTGGCAGCAGAGGAGGGTGGTTGTATTTATTGCCATGGCTCTCCTGCCACCAAATTTCCCAATCTGTGGGGAGCACCATGGGCCAGATACCAATGGTTCCACCGGCCACATTTAACCCACAGGATGGAAGTTGAGCACCCCTATTTTAGGCTGATTTTGATATAAGATTAGGGTAGTTTTAAGACTACTAGCCACATGGTAAGCTTATGTATACCCAGAGTCAGGTCACAGGACTGGGGTGGCCTTGGGGCCTTCTTCTAGTGACTCATCCTACTTGGTTGGCTACTTGGTCATAGAACTGGGCAACTCTCCAAATAATCATGTTAACAAATGGCAGACAAGGTTCTTTGGATAAATCTGATACCTTTTATTAGGCCAGCTCAAATAGTTGGAACACATTTTTTGTTGCAAGCTTTCAGGCAAAGAAGAATTTTTTTCCAACTATTTGAGTTGGTCTACTAGAAGATATCAGCTTCACCCAAAGAACCCTGTCTGCCTGTGTCCTTAGACCAACACGGCTACAACCTACACCCCTATTAACAAATAGGAAATTATGGTGTCTCGGACGGCCAGGGCCGACTCGAGTTGCGTTAGAAATTGGTCGTACGTTAGGGCGGGCTGGTGAATGGAGAGGCAGACACAACTTATTGGTTGTAAAAACTTTACTCACACCGCTTGCAGTCACGACACAGGTGGTCCGGTTGTCTGAACAACCACACGAGTTGTTCCAGCTGGCGGGGCCCAAGCCAGTTAATCCGTCCGCAATTCGAAGCCGGCGGGGAAAGGGGTACGTCGGGGTTGCGCTTGGTGACGGGAAGAAAGATCGATAGGTGATCAGTCTATCGATCGGCAGCCGCAAGGTCGATAACTTCAGCGGCCCTCTGCAGCA